CTCTCTTGCCAGATCACTGAATTAGCAAACTGATTAAATAACACCGCTCAAAATGCTACATTGGTGGTTATGATTAGAGCATGCTTGAAAATGCTGCCCCAAAGTGCAGCAAGGCTCATCGAACGTATCACCTGGGGGAACGAAGGCAATTTCTCTATCACCGAATCAGTTAAGGATTTCCATCATTTTTCTCTACACTCTCATAAAATTGCTGGGAGGTTTGAAAATGAGCAACAGAGAACACATTTCACAGTCTTAGTACTCCCTCAAATGAGATCTCCCTCCTGTCCCAAAGAGCTAACGGCTCTTTTTAGTTTTTTGAAAGCTATCATTTCCTTTTCGTTACGTGAAAAGGACACGAGGGAAAGCATGCAGCGGTTAAAACTCTATTTACGTGCTTACCGAGCGGCCGTAGTGCCCTAAGAGACGCGTTAGTAAGGAGCGCAATCCAAAGCAGGTGAGGTAAAGACCTCAAATTATCCTGCCTCGGGGTGTCACTGATTTACTTCTTTTCTCCCAAGACTTTATGGAGGTTTAAGTGATATGCAGTGAAACGCACAGCCCCTCCGTGAGTGCATGGACGTTTGCTCAGGTCCATACACCTGTGTGCCTACCGCCCAGCCCAAGAAATATGGAACATTTGCATCACCCAGGGCTCCCTCTCCCCCCAAGGGTGACCGCTCTCAACATAGAAAAGAGGCCATCTGTTCTTGGACTTAGAATAATGGAGCCACGCAGTGTGTGCCCTTGCGTCTGGATTCTTTCATTCCACGTTTTTGAGATCCAACCGCGCTGCCCTTTTTGCTTGCAGAGTAGCGTTCTGCTGTCTGAATATACCCGGCGCTTTATGCACTCTCCTGATTCACTCCATTTAAGGCTGTTTGTTTGGTTTGCCTCAGCTGAAGTGTTTGGACAAATTACACCCGTTCGTGTTGTCTAGTGCCTGTCCATTTACCGGGAAGCCTTAAGAATATGAGTAACAGAGGCTGAAGGAGACCACGCCCAGCACTGCGCCTGGAATACACACGTGCTTATTATGAAATGTTTGTTCCTCGTCCTTAACTAAGCTTAGAGGGAATTCGCCTCCATAGAAGCCACCGTTCAAAAGCAAATCAAACGGTTTTAAGAGGGGCAGCTGCATGGAATCTGATTTTCATAATCATTCTTTGAATGTAAAATGCGTGCGGGATAGATGTGTGGAGCAGGCTGAGTGGAAGACTGAGTTGATGGGGACAGGCGCTAAGATGGTATTTCTGCTTCTCGTTAAACTCTTATTTATTAAAAACCACCACTTTTGAAACATCAAGTGAATATTTACATTTACTGCTGTCTGTAAAACCATTTGGATAGTCGTTTTAGTTAGATGACTACCCCAGAGAGAATGCTGTGTGAATCCCCCTGGAAGGAGTGGGGTTTTGGGGATTCAGATCATCGTTCCTCCTTCTGACCCCGAAAGAAATGCAAACCAATCCATAGACATCAAGTCCATTTTTATTTTATTTTCAGATTTCTTTTTTTTATTGGGGAATTGGCAGAGGAGAACAGCACTGGGGAATTGGGGGAAGGGGAACAGACAAGTTGCTGCCCTTTTGTTCTTCAGTCTAGTTGTGGAGGACGTCGCTTCACTGGCCCATGTTGGCGTTACCATTGCGCTCTTCCCTGGGGAGGCATTCGCTTGCTGGCTATTGGATGGCCGCTCATGGTGGCTCACAAAAGCTCATGCCTGCTGCTGGCCAGCCCCACTGCAGCCTACGCCGGCGACTCACAGCAGCCCAGCTCCAGGTTGAGCTGTTGTTCACCATTTTAGCTGTAGAGGGCGCAGCATCACTGGCTCTCATGTGGGAATCGAACTGGGGCCCTGCTGCTCAGAGGTGGCATCCCAAGCCAATGCTTAACCAGTGCGCCACTCGGCCAGCCCTGGAGTAATTCATTTTAAATATTAAGGAATGCTTTTGACTCAGAGGATGATCTCTGCATGCTTACCCCCTCTCTTTTGCGTTCTATGTTATCTGAATGGCCTTGCAAGAGGCAGTAAAAGATACTGTGGACAAAGCTAGAGTAGTTAAATAATGATATAATGCTTATTTTTACTTACATTGTGCATTTATATTTGCAGAATTTGGGGAAGTCTGAGAATTTTTAAAACAGCTATTGATAGGCTGGAATCCCACATTCTCAAATAATGATTTTCTTTGAAAGAATTTTTAGAATTTGTAAGGAAACACTTGTGAGTTTCTTAGGTAATTATTAATACTTCTTAGGCTTTACAGTCATGTATTTCAAAGTGTTTTTATCTTGAGATACTGAGGTCAAATATGCCCTTCATTGAATTCAAGTTCCAATGCCTCTGCATTCCAACATAATCATTCCTGTAGTACCTCTAAATACCATAAGCCTTTTTCTTCCCAGGATCGTTCTCCATATCCTCCAAGACCATCCTCATTCATTGTGTGTTTGTAGATGTGATAATAATAATGGTATTAAAGCTTATTAGGTAAGAAGATCTGCTGAATACAAATTTAGGATATGTCAAAAGTAAATTTAAACTTTCCGAATTTGTGCTTTGACTTCCCTTTATTTTAAAGTTTATACTTTTCTTCATGGTTTGTAGAATAACATCAGCTTTAGCATGGACAAAAAATTAATGTTTTCTTTGCCCATGAACAACGACTTCAACAGAATTTAGTAACAACCATCCATTATAGGAACTACCCTTTACACAATATTTATCATGTCATAATACATCACATATTTAGCAAAGCTGACATTACAGCTTGCAAGGTACTTTTTCATTTTATTCTCTTCATGACTCTTTGAATTAGGTATCATTATTTAATTTGTGAAAATAGGGAAATAAGGCTCAGAGGGACTCAATGCTTGTCAAAACCAATCGTATTTGTCCACTGTCAGTACTTTAAACCCCCATTTTCTGATTTTAAAAGTGCTTTCATTTCCCCAATAGCAAGCTGCTTATTTGGTTGGTGTTTGGAATTGTAGTTGAGATTATATCAACTACATATAATCTCTACAGAATAAATGAATATTATCCATCTAACAATAACATTGTACAGCCATTCTGAGGACACTTCAAATTTTGGAATTTCAGAGGAAGTGTCTCTATTAGCCGGCTTTAGAAAAATAACATCTGTGAATGTTTGATAGTCCTGCCTATGGTTACAACGAGTTATTGACAAAGCTAGGATGCGGACCACATTCTAGGCATGATCTATTTTTATATTAAATTATCATTTTATATTAGTTGGGATTGGGAAGAAAGTAGGAGCCTTTAATGATGAATATGTATGTCCTATATAGAAATGTGACAGCAATCATCTTACATTTAAGTTCACTCAGCAAATTGTAAATTTGAAAGCATTCAATACATGGATAAGAATAAAAACTAACAGAATGAGAAAGGATTTTCCAACCCCATTCATTTATCTCACTGTAAAAATTGTTTAAAATAATTTTTACTATTGTTATTTTATCCACTGTGAGAACTCAGAAAGTCCTTTGAGATAAATAGGTAATATATTTCAGAAAATAAAGACTTTTTACTTGTAGATTTTCTTTTGTCAATGCCACATAATTAAGCTCTACTTCAGGGCCTCCATAACAATCTTGATCAGCTATAAAAGGTATTTCTGCTTTCTAGCTCTAGTTAAAATACTCCTAAAATATGCCACAATTTTCACAAATCTGAGTGAAAGCTTATGCCTATTCGCTTGACAATCTGGAGATCGAATATTTGTGTTTGTAAGTAAAAATATCCACAATTTTATTTGCAACACTTTGTTACCATAGCGGCTTGCTAAGTGTCCTGGTTTGGCCACCTGTATGGACTTAAACTAGTACACTTTGTATATAAAACAGGAATTATAACACTTACCACTTCAGTTTATTGAAAGGATATGAGCTAAGATATATAATCCACACAATACTGATTTGGCACATTTGAGTCATTTGATGAAAATTTAGTATTATTACTGTTATTATTGACTTTGAAATATTTCCTTTGCTGCCTTTAAATGTGTATGTGTACATAGAGGCATTTTAGAAATTACAAGCTCTACGTGCAGACTGAATGTTTCATTTGGATACTGGTTTTTATTTTGTAGGGCTGCAAAAAGTTATTTGAATAAGAAATTATCTGAAATATTAGGGATTAACCGTTTCATCAGCAACTGATGGACTGCTAATTAGCTCACTGGAAGTTATACTTTTTAACTGGCAGGATGTCACCAGAAAATAGTGAAAAGGTGTGCATTGGATATTATAGGCAGTGCATTAGACACGGAATATAAAAGTAAAAAGATTAAAAAAATGCTTTTATGTAGTAATACTATTTTTAAAACATGGGATCAGTGCAGCCTTGTCCATATATAAACTATGTGTTGTTCCATCTATAAACACATTTCTGTTTATAAACATTTGTTCATCTATAAACAAATTTGGTCATGATGCAAGCATACAGAAGTCTAAATAATAATGTGACAATCTGCAAATATTTCTTTTTATGGATGCACTGCAGTTTATTTATGCAATAGCTTATTGATGGGCATTTGGAGTTTTGCCAATGTTATATTCTCCAAAACTGCTTCACTGAACATCCTTGTGCATATATATTTTCTTTTTTTTAAGATTAAAGTTTATTGGGGTGACAATGGTTAGTAAAGTTACATAGGTTTCAGGTGTACAATTCTGTAATACATCATCTCTATATCACATTGTGTGTTCACCACCCAGAGTCAGTTCGCCTTCCATCACCATATGTTTGACCCTCTTTACCCTCTTCTACCACCCCCCTTCCCCTTTATGCTCTGGTAACCACTAAACTATTGTCTGTGTCTGNGCGGTAGCCCATGGCAACCCACTGCCACAGGAGTTGCAGCCTATGCCATCGCCGGCAACTCATGGCAGCCCAGCTCCAGGTCGAGCTGTTGTTCACCATCTTAGCTGTAGAGGGCAGTGTCACTGGCCCATGTGGGCTCTGAACCTGCTGCTCAGAGCTCAGGCTCCCAAGCCAGCTCTTAACCAACGAGCCACTCAGCCGGCCCCATCAAGTCCATTCTTGATTGTCATCTGCAGCACACGCGTGCGCACACACATACACCCATTACAACTAACACAATAATTAACAAAACACTTCCAACCTGCATTTTAACAAGAAATCATCCCTTTCTCCAGCCCAAGAGGTTCAAGAAAAACAGAGTACGTGAATGCGTTGCGTTTAGTCTGAGACTGCAAAGGTCAGCTCTCAGCCCGGGGAAGGGAACCATCATGAACTTTTCCCAGAAGGAGCTGCTTTGCATGAAATTTTAGTAATAAGCACCACGCTTGCATTTAAAATATGACTATGTTTTTATACAAATGATGTCTACAAAATTCCAGGTGCCCTGCTATCGTGTTAAGGCCCAGGTCAGTTCATCTCACAACTCAGAATCTCTTGGTTGTAGAGAGTAGTCCTGCTTGAAATAGGTGGGCAGCTGTCAGGGCATGGGTGTCTACTTCCAGAGAAATTCTTCTGTAGTTTAATGACATTTTTAAAAGTAGGATCCCGCCGTCTCTGCAGGGTTCCAATTAGCAGTTACCAAATGAACATTGTAAATTCTCTGCATCCACCGGGAAGCTGGACCCACTGATGCAATATTCAAACAGTTCTTCAGTGGCACCGACTGCACGTACACAGCACTGCACCTGGGCTCACTGATCCCCATGGCCAGGGGCATGGCTCTACTCCATTTGTTTCTCAGGGCTACATTTCTGCTCACTCTCTCCTGGTCACAGGCTCTCCACCTGGGGTCTGTGTGTGTGCCAAGGGCAGTGTGTGTGTGTGGGCGGCCTGTGGGCCTCCCGAAACAATATGCAACATCTCGTGTGTGCGTTTCTTGAGAGTAGGCCATCGGACCCACGTGTCAGGTGCTCACAGGGACTAGAGACCCCCTGCCCTGTGTCAGTGGCCCTGCAGCATTTGGAGAGCACTGTCCAGCCCTGACTGTGCCAGGATCCCACTGGACCTCAATAACCAAATTCACGACCTTTCTGCGTCCCCCCCAGCTTGGTTAGTAACACCCCAAATCGGGCCACGTGAAGCCTCAGAGACCTCTGATCTTTCACTGTCTCTAACCCTGGCCTCCAATTATTGTCCAAATGTTGTGGTTCGCAGCCTTGAAAGTTCATTCTTACCTGCCTGTCTCTCCCCTCTGCCACTGCCTCGAGGCTGGGCCCCACCAGCTCTGGCCAGGCCCATTCCAGCAGCTTCCTACTTGGTCTCCGGCTGGGAGTTTTGCTTCGGCGCCGTCCATCCTCTGCAGCAATCCTACGTGCCCGGCCTCTGTTCACACCCTTTCAGTGGCCCAGGGTCACTGATCTCATCGCCTTCAGCCCCTCACCCCGTCCGCACCAGGTAGCTGGCTGTTCCTGTCCTGCCTTCTTCATATGCCCCGGGTATGTGGGTCTTTGCATCTATTCCCCCCTCCCTTCTGCCTACTGAGTCTTGTCTCCTATCCCTGTCAAGCCTCCTCACCAACACATCCCCTCCCTGCCCCGCTTTCTGGGTCCCTAAATGCATGACTCCTGGTCCTGTGTCACTGTGTCTGTGCACATTCTCCTGGATTACGAACTCCCGGAGGACAAGGCTCTGTCCTTGTGATCTGTGCAGCCCCAGGGGCGGGACAGGGCCCGGCACCCACGTGGCCTACGTCAATGGTGGCTGAACGGGACTGAAGGAGTCAGTGTGCTGTGAGGCTGAGTCAGCACAGCGCGCGATGGAAAAACCACCTCACATCCCCACATGCAGACCCAGGCTCTCCCGCCCTTGGCAGTCAGTCCTCCTCTGATAGCTCCTATCTGTGGGTGACCGACCCCACCCGTCTTCCCGGCCCAGCAAGCAACAGCCTTAACTCTTCCCACTCCCTCAAGTCTGGGGCTTCTCCTATCCGCGAGGGTCTCCGGAAATCTGTTCACTTCCCTCCTAAGTCACCGCGGGCCTGGGAACTGGTCTCTGCCTTACTCCTTCTGCACCCACTGTCCACACATAAGGCAACTTCTTTATGGATCCAAATGGAATCGTGTCACCTCAAACCTTAACACCCTTCCTCAGCTCCCAGTACTTCCAAGGCCTGCACTGCCCTCTTCTCCCCTTAGGGCCCCGACTCTATCCCCTGGTCCTGCTTCTCCGTGGGCCTGAACACCTGGCCCTGTTTCCTATGGCTTCATGTCACCTCTTCAGGAGACAATCCCCTGCTCCCCTAGGCCAGGGTTAGGAGTTCATTGAGGGTGCCTATCCCCCAGCACCGCTCATCAGGCTTGCAGCTTCTTAAGGGCGGGGACAGTTCACAGGGGTTCCCTCAGCCTCAGGCCTAATTACGGGTAGACGCTCAGCAAGTGAAAGGAACTATTGGTGCCGTGATTTGATGCCCGCGGGCACAGCGACGGCCACGGATGTTGCACTCCCCCTCGGAGCCAGTCAGCATAAAAGCAAAGCCCGCCAAGCTCAGGGCTCAAGCGGAGAACAAAAGGATGCAGGATGCGCCCCAGGGGTCTGTCCCGGCCGCGGCCCAAGAGCGGCCCCGCCCTTCACTTCCTAGAGAGAGTGAAGTGCAGCGTGGGAAGCGCCGGTGGCTCGCGGGGAGCCCGCGGGCTGGAAGCCGTGACCGCACAGCCCAAGACCAGACCGACCTCAGGCAGCGGGCGCTGCAGGGCGAGGGGCGGGGCGGGCGGCTAGCGCTGGGGCCGCGCCCTCCAGCCACTCCCCGGGGCGACGAGGCGCCAGGGCGGCCACCAGGCGGCTCCCCCAAGCGCTTGCGCCCACCCCCGGCCGCCGGTGTCCCCCGCGGCCCATGTCCTCTGCGCCGCAGCTGCGCTCGTCTCCCCTGCGGCCCCCCAAGATGAAGAAGGACGAGTCGTTTCTGGGCAAGCTGGGCGGCACGCTGGCGAGGAAGAAGAAGGCCAGGGAGGGTGAGTGCGCCGGCGGCCGGCCTGCAGCTACGCGCGATCCCCGCCGGGGCCACGCGTCCCTGCGCCTGCGCCCCCGATCCCCGCCGGGACCACGCGTCCCTGCGCCTGCGTCCCCGACCCCGCCGGGAACACGCGTCCCTGCGCCTGCGCCCCCGACTCCCGCCGGGAACACGCGTCCCTGCGCCTGCGCCCCCGACTCCCGCCGGGAACACGCGTCCCTGCGCCTGCGCCCCCGACCCCGCCGGGAACACGCGTCCCTGCGCCTGCGCCTGCGCCCCCGACCCCCGCCGGGACCACGCGTCCCTGCGCCTGCGCCCCCGACCCCGCCGGGACCACGCGTCCCTGCGCCTGCGCCCCCGATCCCCGCCGGGACCACGCGTCCCTGCGCCTGCGCCCCCGATCCCCGCCGGGACCACGCGCCCCCGTGTACGCGCCTCTGAGTCCCGCCCGCCCGCATGGCGCGCAGCTGCGACCTCTGGGACAGGCCTTTACCCTCTCTGTCTCTTCCTCCTCCCGAGACATTTAAACACCGGCCGGGAGCCCGCCGCACACCAGGCCGCCCCTTCCCGCGGATTTTCGTGGCGCCCGTCCTGGGCTCACGTGTCATTGAAACGCCCCGTGCCAGCTGCCTAGGGCAGGACTGAGAGCAAACGCCGGGCGGGTCAGGCGAGCCCCGGGTACGTGGAGGACGGCCCCGCGCCCAGCCCTGCTTGAGTCGCCATTTATTTAGCCCCGTGCAAGGGCGGCACGGCCTGCAGGCGGGCCTGCTGTGGGCCTGCGCCGTGAGTCTCCGTCCACGAGCATTCACTGGACACCGACGCTGCCTGGGTGCCAGGGCCTTTTGGTGTTCTTGGGACAGCCGCCCTGCGTGGCATTCGGCCCCTGGACGGGGGAGGAAGGGACAGGGACGCAGAGGGGGCAGGCCAGAGGCTGGGGGTCCTGCGAGCAAGGACTGCAGAGGCCCCCCAACCCCAGTTTTTACTCCATGTGCCCACAGAAATAATTACAAAAAACTACCTACTTCTTACATTTAAAAGTTTTTTTAGAGTTGCAAGGGATGTAGCTTCTGGGGGGGGGGGAGGTGTCTTTTAAATACACCGCTGTCCCCAGAGCCTCTCCCGGGCCGAATTTCCCCTTTGTTAAGGCGGGAGATTCTTGTCCTGGGGCAGATTCCAAAAGGGTGAGGGTGACTTTTGGGGAGACTGTAAGAAGGCAGGTGGGAGAGGAGAAGCCCCAGGACTCCCCTCAGGCAGATGGTGGAAAAGGAGGGACCCAGGAGTTGGGGTTAGGGGTCTGACTTATCCCCTCGAAAGTCTCCCTGCATCGGGGACCTGTGTACCCACCCCTCTTAGTCGCCCCTCCCCCTGCCCCCGCTGGGTATTCCTAGAGATGCTTGTGATACATTGTCATCTAGGGGATACGTGTACCCCATGCACTCCCCCCACGGCTTTGAGGGGGCATGCCTTTAATTTGAGGGGGGGGGTGTTTTTAATAAATTATTCAGCTCCCTGAGGGCAAGGCCTGGTCACCTTTAGTAATCTCCTCCTGAGCAAATTGCCACTCCTCACTCAAGCCTCACAGTGTAAGGACCCAAACTGGCTTGTATTCATCTCCATCAAGTCATGCCTCCTAAATGAGATGATGAATGATTGTCGCCTTCTCTTTGTCACTCCCGCTGCCTCTCTGATGTGCATCCTCACTTGCAGTCATCGTCGCCCTTACCCAAAAGCATTTCAGTTCTTTATGTCTGACAGCAATTACAGACGTCAGTGACATGCCTGTCCCCATGCACTCAGCAGGACCTGCTGGGGGGATCTAGGGCGAAAAGAGCCACAAGGCTCCTGCTCTCGGGGACCGGGGAGCCGGTCGGTCGTAAGAAACGGATCGGCGGCGGTGCTATAACAGGTGCCGTGAAGGAAATGTGACCGCGCAGTCAGAGAGAGTGCCCTGGGGACTGCCTCAAAGCAGGTGATGTTTGGGTTGGGACCAGAAGGAACCAGGAAAGACATCTTTCACAGAACAGAAGTAAGCAGAGTGTTCTGGATTCTTACGGCTTTTTATAGGTGACATTTACGCACTTGGAATAGGAAGAGTGCTGGCCTCAAGCCGTGGATTGGTCCCAAGTCTCAAAGTGAAGTGCCTCTTGTCCTTGTTTTAATGAACTAGTGTGTGCCTGGGAAATTGAGGGCCAGTCTGGTTTAATTTAAATGCACCACGAATTCCCAACAGTCAGAAACATCCGGTGCTGAATAAAATAAGACATGAAAACAGCAATGGGGGCCAGATGCTTGTGCTGTGGCTGTGGTTGCTTCTGTGTGTGCATTAGCTGGGTCCCCTGCCTCGCTTCTCCAGGTTGGGGTGCCTGGCACCCTTAGGGGTCCCCCATAGAAATAGAAGGCCTCAAACACTAATTGGGCTCAGAGGCAGGAACTGGGGGAGGGCTGGACTTGGAAGGGCTTAGAGGCTTCCGTCTGATCTGGTTGGTGTGAAGACAGGGTAACGAGGCCCTGAATGATTGAGAGCTGCCGGGATCCCTGGGGGCCTGTTGCCCTGGCACCTTGCCCTCTGTGCCGTTCGTGCATCTCATGAGCTAGAGCAGGTCCTGGTTCAGACTTTGGGGCCCTATTGGATCGTGCTCATTTGCCAACCACAGAACCATCAGAAAGAGGGTGCTTAGAGGTTTGCTGGGCGCTGCCAGTTGCACAGTGGGTTTCGCTTCCTCGTTTGTTAGAAAGTTGACGGTGAGTTCAGGAGCGTGGGTGGAGGTAAGGCCCCTGTAAGTGGGGTGGGGGACTCCCTTACAGGGAGATGCTGAGAAGTGAGAGATTCCGGGAGCCTGTAGTATTCGACCCCGCCTAGGTTGACAGAGCTCGTGATTGTGACAAGGCTCCCAGGGTGATGTGTTGGGGTGAATGTCCTGCTCTCTTCCAGGGGAGATCATTTCAGGAAAGGGTGCACTGAGGTTTGGAGGAACTGATGCGGGAAGTGCCCGTGGATGAATTCCCGGTGTGACTAAGGCCCATGCTCCAGGGAGGGACCCCAGTCATGCCACGTGGTGGCCCGATTCAGAAAACGGAAGTGTGACTAACTGTGGGCATTGGGAAAACTGGAAAGGAACACTTAAAAAACAAAACAAAATTAAAAACCCCCAAAGTTCTCCTTAGAAGGCCCAGGGACTTTCAGGAGCAACTCATTAAAAAGCCCGTTTGGTTTCACGGGGGCTCAGCAGAGCAGGTGCAGAAGAAAGGTTCCCCCATGCAAGGTCCCCCCTTGTGACCACAGATGAGAGCCCCAAAGGTCCAGCAGGCCAGGAGACAGGGTGAGGGGGCGCCCGAGGGCTGCCCCAGCTGCTGTGTAAAGTCCTTAGAGATGGGAGGCCAGCTCTGGGGCCAGTGAGACCCTGGAGGAAGAGGCCAGACAGAGTCTGCTCCACGCATTTTCCACGAGAGGCCCCGATCTGTACCCAGGTCCCCGCTGCTCTGCCCGGACACCGGTGCCCAGGGCCCAGTACCAGGCTGCTCAGACCCAAACCTGAGCTGCTGTCCCACCTTCTTTTCTGAGGAAACAAAGCATTAGGGAAGCTCCTAGTCCCTGACTGCCTTTTCGTTTTTGTAAATATGTTTTTTAGAGCAGTGTTGGGTTCACCTTCCCTAATGACTTAGGATGTGGAGCGTCTTTTCATGTGCCATCTCTGTGTCTTTGGTGTAGTGTCTGTTCAGATCTTTGGCCCGTTTTTTCAAAGGAGGTGTTTGATTTCTTACTGCTGAAGTTTAAGAGTTCCTGGTATAGTTTGGATACAACTCCTTTATCAGATACGTCTTTTGCAAATATTTTCTCCCCGCCTGTGGTTTGTCTTCTGGCTCTCTTGACCTTAGTCGTCTTCTAAGCATTTGTTGCAGAAATAGAATATAAATAAATAAGAAAGATGTTGATAAAGACTTCATGAACTAGATCGAAAGAAATAGCTAGGTGGCTGCGACCCTGGACTGAAGTTTGAAAGTATTAAGTTTCTTTGGTGGACTTTAAATAGCTTCCAAGAGAGAAGTCTTCTAGTCTGAAACCATCACCAGTTCGCCCAAGTTCTCTTCAGGTCACCCCCTCTTTACGGTGATCAGCTCTGTAGACGTTGTGTCGCCCCCAAACACCAACCCACCGACACACTGCTCTGTAATAAGAATGCCTGGATACAGGTGTTATGTAATTTAGCCCTGCAAGGTAGGAATTTTCACCTGCCTGAAAGTTACCTGCAAGGTGGGAATTTCCCCCTCGTATTATAGTTGAGGAAACCAAACTTTACCTAGCAGCCCCTTCACGGTAGTTTTAAATCAGTGGTTCTCAACTGGGGATGATTCTGCCCCAGGGGACATTGGCAGTGTTTGTGCTGATGACTGGGGGTTGGGGTGCTACTGGCATCTAGTGGATGGAGGCCAGGAATGCTGGGAAACATCCTATAATGCACAGGAGGACCACACACAGTGTTGAGTTCTTCAGTCCTGAATGTCAGAGAATGGTGCTGAGGTGGAGAAAACATGGCGTTTCTTTACTGAGGTGCCTCAAGAACTCCAGGAGACTGGCTGACCAGCCCTTAGTGTTGGGGAACCTCAGTTGCCAGAATGCCCCAT